CCTAAACCCTAAACCCTAACCGTCCGTGGAGGCTTTACACCTGTCCTGTGGATCTGATTCGCTAGGATGCCAGCTTGAGTGGTAATCAGGATGATGTTGTACAAGATTTGAACCCTGAACCCGAAACCCCTAAACCCGAAACCCTTAAGCCCGAAACCTAAACTTGAAACCCACAAGCCCAGGATAAGTGGAAATTGTTCGTCTTGAAATGCACGGCCTTTAGATTCCTGTATGCTTGCTCTGCTTTCAAGACTAAAGGGCAAAGCAAAAGGAAAACCCCGGTCAAAACCGTCCAAAACTCAGGACCTGAACCCTTGCGGGCGCCTCTATTCAAGTCGGCGCCTGCGCGAGCCGCGGTGCCAGATCCATGTTTCCGCATGCCTGGTGTCAATCAAGAGTCGTCAAGAGACCACAACGCGAAGCACAAGCATCTCTATTCAGTAAATGATTCATTGGAGAACCGTCGCGCGACCTGGGTCCCCCTTAGCTTATAGTTGTTGCTGTGGTTGTACTTGTCGTTGCTGCCGTTGCTCCAGCTGCTGTTGTTGCTGTTGTTGTTGCTGCTGCAGCTGCTGCTGTTGGTGTTGTTCCTGTTGCGATTGCTGCTGTGGTTTCATTTCCATTGAAAACTGATGAGGCTATTCAAGCTTTCGATGCACTATGACTGTTTACTTACTTCCAGATAAGCAGAAACGAAACCGGAAAACCAGACAATGACGTACAACATCCGTTGGACGCCATGGACTCAGCCCGGGGAATGCCTCCAAGGAGTTTTACGTGGAATCTTCCGCTGATGAACAACCTTTGGCTAGTGCAGGATTCCTGCCGTAGCTACAGGAAGCATGGGGGCCTTGGTTGTTAATGGCAAATTACATGCACCCACAAGCTCCACACATCCCTCTTTTGCAGTCTCATTCACAAGACTCATGACATAGTGATTCAACATATGCGCATGGACAGTGTCGGAGCAAGAATTTAAAATCTTCAAAATGCTCCTTGATCGAACAAAACTTGCAACTGAATCGGCCTCAGCCTTAAGTTTTCAACGCTATGGATTAGCAGGGCACAGAACGCGAACTGCCATTGCTTTCCAAGTCTGTGAGGTCCTGCATGCTTGGACTTCGGCGCCTCAGAAGAAACATTTGCATGGCTGCTGGGCCAAGCCAAGCTAAGCCCAATGCAAGCAAGGCCACACAGGGCCTCATGGGAACTGCAAACCACCAGGTGAGGAAAGATGGACAACTTGCTGGCGGTTCGGCGTGAGCCATTCGAAGGAACACGGGAAGGCGATGGAATTCTTGCCAACCTTGCACACCTGCCACTCCGTAGGGCATTGCATCAACGAAAAAGCCGAGGATGGTGCACGTGTGGATCACTAAGTTCACCCAAATGGGCCCCTTCCGCATCCAGAAGAAAGCTCCACAAATCATGCCCCCTGCGGAGAGAAAGATGATGAGGGCAAAGGTGTAGATCCACACGTCAGAAGGGCACGCGCAGGCTACATCCCAAACATGTGCAGCACCCATTTCCTCCACGAGACAAATGACCCACCACGGCATTATGCCAGACACGAGCCTGACAGCCGTGTGATTGTTTCCTGATCCCGTGATGTCTAGACCTCTGGTGTGCGCTTGACGAATCGCGTGGTTGTGTGCTCCAGCAGACTTCAAAACCTGGATGCTCATAATCACATCCTCTTCACGTTCGGCAATAGCCCCACGGATACGAGACTCGTCCGCGGTGCTAGAGCACCGGGCAAACTCTAAACCCTCGAAGGACAGGAAGCTTGCTTGACGTTGAATTTCAGCGTTTTCCAACTCTGTCACGGCATCTCTTACGGCAGCAGCAGCTGCAGCACCCCAGACCGCCAGCGGAACTCCATAATGCAGCAGTTTGTCATACACCGCGGGTGGAGATCTGCATGGCAATACGAACCAGGGGGCAATGCACAACGCTGACAGCACTTGTAGCCCGCTTCGTACCGCTCTGAACATGCTCGACCTGATGCAGGAAGCCTCCAACCAAAAGGCACGTGTGAGAATCACAACATCGATCAAACAAGTGAACACCACGGCAGCGATGCACGCGCAAAGAATTCCGTCAGCAACTCTTGCATGGACACTGTGGGGCTGTTGCATGGCTTGAATGACTATTGCCCAACCGCACCCTATCATCCCGCCCAAGATCGTTGGAAACAAGCAGGTCCACTTGATCATGCTGCAGAGTCTAGACGCTGGTGGCTTGGCAGGAATCACGCAGATCTTCTTCCACTCTGTGGCCAAAAATATTTCATACACGCACCACAGTCCTGAGCTTCGCTGAGGTGCTTTCAACAACGAACATATGTCTAATTCTACATTGGGTTCTGATGTTTCGACGTTCGAAAACAATGTGCAATCCAGGGTCGCTGGTAAATGCTCACCGTGTCGTTTGGGCTGACCACGACATGAGAGGCACACTGCATGGCTTTGGCAAAAGGGCTCTCGAGCGGGTGGCAGTCCAGCATGGACTCGATGTCCAAGTTCTGTGGGTTCGCCAGCAAGCAGCAGTAGATGTTCCTTAAGCGAAGTCCTCTGGGCCAAGCGCTTCTCACATGGTTGCCCAGTTCGAAGACTCCTTCCGACCACGCGTGTGAGACGAAGACGTGACATATCAATCCTTTGGGGTGCTTCATCAAGGCATAACTCATCCCACCAGCGGCCAAAGTGACGGGCTTGACATAATGGGTGTTGACCTGGTACAGGTTGGGGCCGTAGGCGTGGAGATGGTGCTTGGGGTTCGGAAGCTCCGCACTATTGGGAAGCAGTCCTTGCTTCCAGAGCCTTCGAACCTCCTCTATGAAGCGGAAAAACTCCCACTTTGTGACGCACCATCTCTCCGCCGGTATTTGCAGGTGAATCTCCATTCTGGACTACGAAGGTCAGAACTACACTGCGAAGAGGCAACTGTTCCTGAAATTTGACTTGCTGATGCAGCATCAGGTCCTGGGCTTCCAGCTTGCAAACAACATCTCTTTTTGAGATCCACCTGCTTGTGAGCAAACCGGCGACGGCAGTCACAAAAAGTCGCAGGCTGACTGTCTCTAACCAACTTCACTTCAGGCGTGCATCCAAGCAGTCTGATGAAAAGAGGAGGCAGAGAGAGCAAGAGAGAGATGGAGACAGAGAGGGAGAAAGCTCAAAACTAGACGAACAAAGCCACCAGAAAAAACGAATGCGACAGCGAGGACCAACAAGTAGTGAATAGAGAGCGCTAAAGGAAGTACTAGTAGTGTCAGACAGCATCTGCAAAGCATGCAAAAGGCAGTTGCAATGCCAGGGAGTTCCGTTGGTACATGAATCTTGGATTAGATATTGCATGCAACATCCAGCGGGAATCTGGGTTCCTGGATAGGCTTCATGATCTCAACCCAGGCTGGGCGAAGAGAACGCTGAGCTCCGATGTGACACAAAGAGAACATGGGCAGGACATGGGCAAAGAAACGACACAAACCAGCCTTCAGGCTTGCAGGATCCAAATCAATCGGAGGACCCTCGGAGCTCCTGCGACTGCGGATTCCTTGTCGTTGTCTCGAGTCTCTGCTGTGTCCGCCTTGATGCTGAACACGCAAGATCCCACGATTGCTGCTAATAATGTGTGCTTATCGGTGAAAGGCGTCAGAAACTTCAGCAGCAGGAACCACCTCGTCGAAGGACTTCCCTTTTCCCTTGACTCTTCAGCTACTTTACGTTCTTCCTTGCTCCATCAATCTTGCCCACATGGGCAACCTCCTAGCTTTGGCGAGTCGAGTACTCACAACCTCTCAGGCAAGAGCCGTTCAGCAAACTTTTCCGGCTTAGCTATGGCACAATGGTCTAAACTTCCCGTCGAATGTACATGGTTGCACTGCAGGAGCACAAACGGCCGATGCCTGGAACTGGAGATGCTCCTCTGCCAGGTCTTCGGCTGGCTGCCTGGGCTCGGAGTTTAAGGATTGCGAACGGCCGCAGATATAAGCCGAAGCAAGATAGATCTCACTTGTGGGCCTGGACAGGATGTTGGCAGGAGCTAAAACAGCTCTTCCGTCTTTGACCTGTAGCTTCTTTCCGTGCGCGGTTTGATCATATTTGATCTGTGTTGTTCAATTTTCTTTGATTCGGTACATCACGGAAACCTCTTACTCGCAACTCTTCCGCCAATCCCTTCCGTCGGACCCTGCCACAGACCCTTTCGCAAACGACGAGACTTTCCACTATGCAGCCATGCAGAAGGAACCTATTGAGGCTTGCGTGCCAGAAAACCCCTGACCCAAGACCCTTAAGGATTGTGTTTTCGAGACTTAGAGGCCGCACA